AGCCTAGCCGAGTGTTAGCTTGCACGGTTGCTCGTTCTTCATTATTGGAGCGTATCCGTGATCGACAGTTTGATGATCTCCATTTGTGTGTCCTGAGAGACACGGTGCAGCGTGGAGGTGCCAAGAAGGTGACCTTAGATGATGATGGTGTCTTGAGACTGCAGGGGCGAGTTTGTGTGCCCAATGTTGATGGGATTCGAGAGTTGATCTTAGCGGAGGCCCACAGTTCCCGATATTCTATTCACCCGGGCGCCGCGAAGATGTATCAGGACTTCCGACAGCATTATTGGTGGCGTAGGATGAAGAAGGATATTGTTGCATATGTGGCTCATTGTTTGAACTGTCAGCAGGTTAAGTACGAGCGTCAGAGGCCTGGTGGACTGTTTCAGAGGATTGAGCTTCCCGAGTGGAAGTGGGAGAGGGTTACTATGGATTTTGTTACTGGACTCCCGTTGACCCAGAAGAAGTTTGATGTGATTTGGGTCATTGTTGATAGGCTGACCAAGTTAGCGCATTTTGTTCCTGTTGCAACCACTTATTCATCCGAGAGGTTAGCTGAGATCTACATCAGAGAGATTATTCGCCTTCATGGGGTGCCGGTATCTATCATTTCGGAACGGGGTACGCAGTTTACCTCGCACTTCTGGAGAGCTGTTCAGCAAGAGTTGGACATCCAGGTTGAGTTGAGCACAACATTCTATCCTCAGACGGACGGACAGTCCGAGCGGACTATCAGATGTTGGAGGACATGCTCCGAGCTTGTGTTATTGACTTCGGAGGTTCGTGGGATCAGTTCTTGCCTTTAGCAGAGTTCGCCTACAACAACAGCTACCAGTCCAGCATTCAGATGGCCCCTTATGAGGCGTTGTATGGTAGGCGGTGTCGATCTCCGGTTGGGTGGTTTGAGCCGGAGAGGCTCGGTTATTGGGTACAGATTTAGTTCAGGAGGCCCTAGATAAGGTCAAGATCATTTAGGATAGGCTTCGTTCGGCTCAGTCGCGGCAAAAGAGTTATGCAGATCGTAAGGTTCGAGATGTAGCTTTCATGGTTGGTGAGCGAGTATTGCTCCGAGTGTCGCCTATGAAGGGCGTGATGAGATTTGGGAAGAAGGGCAAGCTTAGCCCTAGGTTCATTGGCCCATTTGAGATTCTCGACCGTGTGGGAGAGGTGGCTTATAGGCTTGCCTTGCCGCCTAGCTTGTCCGCCGTGCATCCAGTTTTTCATGTGTCCGTGCTTCGGAGGTATCACGGCGATCCAGCCCACGTGTTAGATTTCAGCACTGTCCAGTTGGACAAGGATCTGTCTTATGAGGAGGAGCCGGTGGCTATTCTAGACCGGCAGGTTCGTCAGTTGAGATCGAAGAGTTTTCCTTCAGTACGAGTTTAGTGGAGGGGTCAGCCCCCTGAGGCATCGACCTGGGAGTCCGAGTCCGATATGCGGAGCCGTTATCCTCATCTATTTCCCGACTCAGGTACTTCTTTCTTTTGTCCGTTCGAGGACGAACGATTGTTTTAGAGGTGGAGAATGTGACGACCCAAAGGGTCATCACCTGTTTTATCACTCATTCTGTATCTCCGAGGCCTTGAAAACTTCATTTAGACTTGTCTCGATTTGCGTGCGCAGTCCGGGCGCGTAGCCGGAAAGCTTAAATATGAATTCTGTGTAAAAATTGATGAATTTTGATATTAATATGGTTAAAGTTGACATTGGTCAACATTTTGAGTAAACGGACCCGGACCCGTGATTTGACGGTCCCGGAGGGTCCGCAGAAAAGTATGAGACTCGGGCATATGCCCGGAGTCGAATTTCGAGGTCGAGAGCCCGAGAAATGAATTTTTCTGTGAAATTGTTTTTCTGAAATTAATATGGAAATTTGAAAAGGAAATTGTTTAGAACGTGCTGGTATCGGGCCCGTATTTTGGTTCCGACGCCCGGTACAGGTCTTATATGTGGTTTAAGCGCTTTCTGTGAAATTTGGTTGAAATCGGACGTCATTTGACGTGTTTCGGACCTAAATATCTAAAAATGAAAGTTTATGAAGTTTGATGAAAAAGTGATGATTTTGAGGTTTAATTCATTGATTTTGATGATATTTTGGCGATTTAATCGCACGGTTGAGTTCGTAGGATGTTGTTGAGTTAGTGTGTGTGATTGGTTAGGAGCCCCGAGGGCTCGGGAGTGTTTTCGGAGGTGTTCGGGATGGTTTTGAACTTAGGAAGGCATCAGATTTTCTGCAATTTTTACACAGAAGAATCCTTCTTCGCGTTCGCAATACCCCTTCGCGTTCGCATAGCTTTGAGGCCACCCTTCTTCGCGTTCGCGTTCAGGCCATCGCGATCGCGATGCTTTGCTTTTTCCTTCTCCGCGTTCGCGTGATGGTCGACGCGTTCGCGTAGGCCAATTCTTTGGACCCCCTAGTACTTCCTCTTCGCGTTCGCAGTCCTTCCCTCGCGAACGCGTAGCTTGCCAGCTCCCCCTTATTCGCGAACGCGACACTCCTGTCGCGAACGCGTAGCACAAAAACGCCCAGTGATTTTTTTAAAAAGTTTCAGAACAGTAGCTCGGGTTTTATTCCAAATTTTTCACGAACTCTCTTCTCCCCTAAGCTCTAGGAATCCATTGAAGCTTCATTTCATCAAGACCTCTTGGGTAAGTAAATTCCCACTCCTTTCCTTCATTTTCCTTCATTAATTAGTAAGTTTCAAGCCTAAATCATGTAATCTAGGGTTGAAATCGGGGGAAATGGGTAGAGTTAGGGCTTTTCAATTTTTCTCCGATTTAGACCTCGTTTTGGGGTCGAATTTGGAAACAAATTGTATATCCGGGCTCGTGGGGGAATGGGTGATGTGAAATTGGTTCGAACCTCAGGTTTGACCAGCGG